GAGGATTCTGCCAGAACAGTTTCCTAACCGTCTGGAGTCGCACGGTTGGATTTCGATGTAATAAGAGAATGTGCTTTTAGAGTACATGGCTAGCTAGGACGTTTCGAATTCCCCTGTACTCTTATTCATATTCCTTGTACTTACATGTTTTAATCTATCTCAATCATTTTACATTTACTCTGCTATTGAGGTCAAGGGCCCACCACCAACACCTAGTCTTGTGCAAACCTTCCTGAGGTGATCCTACGATCACTTTCTGATCGCAACAGGATGCAACATGAAAACAGTGAGGCACACAAAGTTTCAAATCTCTGTTACACACTGTGAATTGACATCTGACTTCAGTAAACAGTAAGTCCCTCATAGGCTCTAAAGTTATTAATCATGGATATCATTAGCTGTACCGTCAGCTATTTTGTTTAGGCGTGCTGTTTTTCTAGCTCCTTGTATCTGAACCAATGCGAACTAAGAGGAATATGGTGTTCTTGGGAGTGTACTGGGGGACCGCTGCAGCCCACAGTGCTGTACACTAGGACCACATGGCCTACGTGCGGGCGGACGTGAAGTTGAACCCACTGCCTCGAAACAAGAAGTGGGGCCTTGTCTTGTATGCTCTCGGACAGAACCCGAGTCAATTTACTGTAGCCGATACTATCGTAAGATAAGAGAGGGTACTTCACGGTACAGTGAGCAATGAGCGTTTCTTGCTCGGCTCGTTGTGGGCGGCGGGTGCATTTCGCCATTCCGCGCAACCTTCGCAACATGGGTTCCTGCATTGGCGAACGTCGCAACGGGGAAACTCGGGAGGGATCGACGACCGTAATTACTAACTCCAATTCTGGCTGAACCCATAACACGTGTGGCTCTGATATGAGGATCATCCCGAATAATTGACACTGTATAGAATCTCGATCTATGGTAAAAATGACCTCGATTTCATCCTAAACCAGTGGAACAACCTAGAAAACGTCCTGTCAATACTGTACCGATGGCAGAGCCTGCTCTCCAAACTTGTTTCTTCAGAAGCAGGTTCAACCTGCTTACTCTTCTGGAGTGCAATGGTAGTTCCATGTTTTGAAACTGTCAAGGAACGTCACCCTTATTGATTCTCGACCACCCTCTCACCATTCCCAAGAGCCGAGACATCGCGTCGCCCAAATGAACGGTTCTGATGCCTCCAAACAACAGGAGCTTGTGTATCGTGTGGTGTCGCCTATTCCTCCTCGGCCTGACAAGCCAAACAACCGTCATCGACGAAGTCACTCTGATAGTTTCCAGTTCAACCCGACTATTCTGAATCAAGCTCCAGTAGCTGGGTCTCGGCTTCAGGCTGTAACTCACAGTCATCAGGCGAGTTCGCGTGTCAGAATTAAGAATGAAGAGTCTATTCCAAAACATGAACTTGCGGAGGCTCCTCCTGGTCACCGCCGTCGGCATTCGGGAACCATTTTGTCTCCTGATTATTCGCAGGACCCGCAACGTTCTCCGGACGGCATGAGACAGGCGGGAGAACAAGCACATCATGGATACAGCTATAACTCGTACAATCCGCGGCCTTATACGAGATGACTATTTTCGCCTCCAAAATCGCCGCCAGGTTCTGAGTTAAGTTATGGTGGTGTTGGACAAGAGACTGGACGGTCGCAAGCAATCTATGAACAACGGCCGCTAAAATCACCATATCATGTATCCCCTGATTTAAGTAGCGACGGCTACAACAACCGCAGCAGCGGCAGTCCTACCACGAGCGTAAACAGTTGCGTCAGTCGCTCTGGTGGAGGTGGAAACGGACCTTACGGAACCATGATTGTGTCAGAATGTTATGTTTGTCTAGCCTGCAATGGGGTACTCAATAGTGAGTATAGCCCAATTTAGGGTTTGCTATATGTACTCAACTGCTTGCTAGTGAACCCCCCCTCTCTTCTTCATTCCTCATTCTTCACATGCTATCAGAGCATCTACGCTCCTGGCCTGTGGGCCCACCTAACTGCTTCCGCTGCTACTCTGTCTGCTGCACGCCCCGTGGCGTGCCCCTCGCGCGACCCTTAGCGGCCCTGTCGCCACCTCTACCGGCCCCGTCGCCGCCCTTCTCGGCCCCTTGCGGCCCCTTCGCGGCCCCGTCGCCGCCCCTATTGGCCCCGTCGCCGCCTCCAGCGGCCTCGTCGCCGCCCCTTCGCGGCCCCGACGGCGCCCCTAGCGGCCCGTCGCCGCCCTTCCAGGCCCCTCGCGGCCCCTTCGCGGCCCCGTCGCCGCCCCAATCGGCCCCGTCGCCGCCTCCAGCGGCCCTGTCCCCGCCCCTAGCGGTCCCGTCGCCGCCCCTAGCGGCCCCGTCGCCGCCCTTCGCGGCCACGTCGCCGCCCTTCGCGGCCCCGTCGCCGCCCCTAGCGGCCCCATCGCCGCTCTTCGCGGCCCCGTCGCCGCCTCTAGCGGCCCCGTCGCCGCCTCTACCGGCCCCGTCGCCGCCCCTATCGACCCTGTCGCGGCCCTGTTGCGGCCCTGCCCCGGCCCTGCCCCGAACCTGTCGCGGCCCTGCCCCGGCCCTGCCCCGGCCCCGCCCCGGCCATGCCCCGTCGCCTGGCGCGGCGCACCGGGGACCCGTGCACCGCCCCCCCCCCCCCTCTTTTCCCGTCACCCGCCGCGGCTCTCTGGGGGGCCGCGGCAACCCGGGGGGGGGGGGGGGGGGGGGGGGGGGGCGAGCGTCACCCCCTCTGCCGCCTGCTTTGGCGCCCTGGGAGGCCGCGCGTCGGCCCCCCCCTTCCCCCCCCCCCCCCCGTAACCTCCCTACCCGCCATCCCGCCCTGCCCTGTGTTAGGGTTTGGGGGTGGCGAGTAGGGGGTGGCGGGTGTGTGGTCTCCCCTGCTCCTCCTCCTCCTCTGTCTCCCACTGCTGCAGCTGCCGCTGAGGGGGGTGGGTGTGTGGGAGTCGACGGAGTGGTGCTAGGGGGTGGGGTGTGAGTGAACCTAGGGTGCAGCAGGGGGTGTGTGAAAAGGGGGTGGGATAGTTTGGGGAGGTTGAAGGGGGGTGGCCGCCGTGAAGCCCGCAGCTCCAGTCGCCCGTGAGACCGTTGCGCCAGTCACCCGTGAGCCCGTTGCGCCAGTCGCCCGTGAGCCAGTTGCTCCAGTTGCCCGTGAGTCCGTTGCTCCTGCCGCTCAGAGTTAGCCGCGGAGCCAGTTACTCCAGTAGTCCGTGTGCCAGTTGCTCCAGTTGCCAGTGTGCCAGTTGCTCCAGTTGCCCGTGTGCCAGTTGCTCCAGTTGCGCCGTGTGCCAGCAGCTTCAGCTGCCGCCCACTACCTCCTCTCCTCTCATAGTCCCTCCTCCTCCACACTTGCCCTCGGTGATAGCCTCTAGCTTTGCTTACATTTGTGAACTTTAAACTGTTGCTTCTTGTACTTGTGCTCAGATTGTGTGGTGACATTGTGATCCACCCTGAGCTTGTTGTGCTGATTACACCCCACTTTGGCTATGGGGGTGTGTCAGAATGTTATGTTTGTCTAGCCTGCAGTGGGGTACTCAATAGTGAGTACAGCCCAATTTAGGGTTTGCTATATGTACTCAACTGCTTGCTAGTGAACCCCCCCTCTCTTTTTCATTCCTCATTCTTCACAGATTGGCGGCAGTAGCTCCGGCTAAAGTGGTAGTAACCACGACGGCGGGCGGGTATGCCTCTTCATATACAAGGCACCCAGCCGAGGTTAGCAGGCCTCCTAGGCCCATGGCGGCTCATCACCGCCGGATCCGCTCCGAGGATTTCTCTTTCGCTGCGTATTCCACTGCCGACGCGACCGACGGGTTCCAGGGCTTCCCTGGAACGAACGCTGCCGCGCCAGAGGAGATTAAAGCCGGCAGCTTGGAAGGCTGGCAGTTCGCGCAAACAGCGCATTCCCCGCGTAAACCGGGGGGAGGGGGAGGCGGAGCGGAAGGGGGAGCGGGCCTTTGGGCTAGAGGGTTCAGGGATAGGGGGCAGATTGTACAGCAGCAGCAGTCGGAACAATCACAGCAGTCGGAACAATTGCAGCAATTGCAACAGTCACAACAGCAGCAGCAGCAGCAGCAGCAGCAGCAGTAGCAGCAGCAGGCGGTGCAGCCATTACAGATGCGGCTGGCACCCCTAGGGACACCCACCACTATCGGACAAAACTCTCGCTCTCAAGATGGAAACCCTGTAGACCTGAGGCGCACCGTCCTGCCACCCCTGGGAATACCCACACCCACTGCCGGGCAAAACTTTCGCACTCAAGACGGATGGGCAAGTGGCGCAGGGGGAGTCAGGGTGGGGGGGGCGCCTGTCAAGAAAAAGATGGGCCACAGGAGGTCCGCTAGCTGTGAAGCCTGGTTCAATCCAGAGGCGGGCTTTAATCCCCATATGAGCGGCTCTAATTCCCCTGCAAGCGGCTCTAAACTGCAAATTGGCAGCTCTAATGTTCTAGGAGGGGAGGGAGGAGGGGGGGGAGGGGGAGGAGTACTAGGAAGGCTATCGGAGAAGGAAGAAAGAGAGGCGTGTACCTCAGGCGGGGGAGGTAGAGCGGAGGTTGCCCAGAGCCCACACAAGCCTAGAATTGTCCTACCATCTACCAGCCCCTATAATAGCCCCTATGCTAGCCCCTTCGCCAGCCCACGCGTGGCAACATCCCCGTTAGTAGGCTCCCCCATGGTGCCTCAAGCGGGTTTTCAAACCGGATTTATGACTCCCGGGCATATGACGCCTGGCGGGGGAAGCCTGGTGGGTAGCCCTGGTTCCATAGCTGCGCAGCAGGTTCGGGACCAAGCCAAGCTAGCCGAAATCCAGAGCATGTTTGCCAATTGGAACCACGAAACGCCGATCCCGTCCCCCAAAGTTGGAGCCTCGGCTCGGGTTGAAGCTGGCTTCCCGCTTCGGACACCCAAGCCTAGCGACTATTACCGTATAGATGGGGAAGCTGAGGGGGGAGAGGGGGAGGCAAGTGCGGAGGAGATAGGGCCGACACGTGCGTGTGCTAGGGAAAACTTATGAGGATATTGGGATGAAATACAGGCTCGCTGAGAAGGAGCTAGGGCGGGGGAACTTTGGAGTGATTCACGTAGCGGAGAGCCCTCAGACTGGGGAGCAGTTTGCATGCAAGAGCATCACCAAGGCCAAATTTGAGGTGAGCAGTGCTGCAATGTTCCATTGGTGCATGGCATGCAGTGTATATGAGCTAGCTGAGAAGGAGCTAGGGCGGGGGAACTTTGGAGTGATTCACGTAGCGGAGAGCCTTCAGACTTGGGAGCAGTTTGCATACAATAGCATCACCAAGGCTAAATTCGAGGTGAGCAGTTTGAGGTGAGCGTGCCGGAGGCCCTTCATCACCTCTTGCTACTCATTCACACTCTCCCACTCTCGATGGTACTTTTGAGAATTGTCAAAAGTACCATCAGTGAGCATGCCGGAGGCCCTTCATCGCCTCTTGCCACTCATTCACACTCATCCTCACTCGCCAGTCTCATTCATCTTGCCTCCCCCCTTCCCTTCCCCCAGTGTTGGGACGACGTGGAGGACGTGAGGAGGGAGGTGGGCGTGCTGGAGACCCTTTGACAAGTCTTCCTTCCGCTCACTTATTTTTTTGTTGCTCCCTCTGCTGCTAATCCCCTTCTATCCCCCCAGTGTTGGGACGATGTGGAGGACGTGAGGAGGGAGGTGAGCGTGCTGGAGACCCTTTGACAAGTCTTCCTTCCGCTCACTTATTTTTCTGTTGCTCCCTCTGCCGCTAATCCCCTTCTATCCCCCCAGTGTTGGGACGATGTGGAGGACGTGCGGAGGGAGGTGAGCGTGCTGGAGACGCTGAGAGGCAATCCGTATGTGGTGTCGATAGTTGAGACGATCGAAGATGAGAAGGTGAGTGTGTGGGAGGGGTGAGTGAGTGGGAGGGGTGAGTGTGTGGGAGGGGTGAGTGTGTGGGAGGGGTGAGTGTGTGGGAGGGGTGAGTGTGTGTATCCCGGACTTGCCTTCAAAATCCACCTGCAGACGGAGGTGAGCATGCTCAAGACGCTGAGAGGCAATCCGTATGAGGCATTGGAAGGTGTCGATCGTTGCGACAATCGAAGAAGAGACGGTGCGTGTGAGGCATGATAGACTTGAAGCACGCCTATAGAGATCTCCATGTGATATAATTGAAGTTTTGAGACGTCCCAAAACTTCACTTTTATCACGTGGCATGGGAGACCTGAAGTACGCCAATAGAGAGATCTGAGAGTCAATGTGTTTGTAGTATTAGTTGCCGTTGATTATTGAGAGGATAGAAGTTGAGCAGCTGAGTGCGAGTGGTAAAATTTGCCATTGAGCCGGCTTAGTAAGATGACGCATGTAAGGTGCCGTGAAGGTTTTTTGTAAGTCGACTAAAAAAAGTGAGGTGCGGTGAAGCTATTTTTTAGTCGACTCATAAAGTGAGGTGTTGTGAAGCTACTTTGAGTCAACTTAAAATTGTGAGAAGTTGCGAAGCTTTTTTAAGTCGACTCAAAAAAGTGAGGTGCCGTGAAGCCATGCTCCCCTGCTCTTCCAATCGTCCCTTGCCCCTCCCCATCTCCCCTTGCCCCTTTCACCAGGAGGTGCACATAGTGATGGAGCTGTGCAGCGGGGGCGAGCTCTTTAATCGCATTCTAGACCGCAAGCACTACGGGGAAAGGCAGGCAGCTCGGGTGATTCGCTCCGTCGTGGAGGTTTTGGGTTTCTGCCACGCCCGGGTAATCGTGCATCGGGACTTAAAGCCCGAGAATATCTTGCTGGTGTCGAAACGGAGCGATACAAGGGTCAAAGTGATTAACTTCGGCATGGCCTGCATCTTGAAACCGGGTAATTTGAGCAAGTCTTTTATTATTATGGGTACTGTGTGTATTACCCTAGAGTCCCAATACATTATGCTCGAGTCCACAAAGAGTGATACACGCGTCAAACTGGGTATGTTTTGAAATTCTCCTGGTTAAAATGGTTAATGTGGGTATTAAAAGAGTGACAGTGGGTTAAAACTGGCGTGGGTGACAGTGAGTGCTCTTGGCATTGGGTCTCCTGCCTGAAACTGGATATGATTCGAGCGACTCCGTGTTTGAGTGGGTACTCTGTGTTTTACCCGAACCCAAAAGAAAAGAAGAAGAAAAAAAACATGCATTCTGGTTTTGCTCCTTCTCTTCCCTCCATAAACCTCTTTCCTCAACACCTCTTCCCTCGTGCCCCTTCACCTCTCCCTCCTACGCTCCCCAATCCCAGGCGAGCGCTGCAAGCTGAGAGCCGGAACACCCAACTACATTGCCCCGGAGGTGATAGCCAAGAACTACAGTCCTATCCATTTACCCTATCCTACCCATTCTCTCTCCTTCCCCCCCTCCCATCCTCCACCTTCAGGTGAGCGCTGCAAGCTGAGGGCCGGAACGCCCAACTACATACATGGCCCTGGAAGTCGTAGCAAAGAACTACGACACGAAGGCGGACGTGTGGAGTGCGGGGGTGATCCTTTCCTTCCCCTTATCCAACCCGTTTTGCCCCAGGGGGGCATCCCCATCCCCTCCCTCCTCCCATCCTCTCCCTCCCTCCCTCTCTCCCATCCTCCCTCCCTCCCTTCCTCCCTCCCTCCCCAGGCGAGAGGTGCAAGCTGCGTGCCGGAACTCCGAATTACATTGCTCCAGAAGTTATTGCAAAAAATTACGGAGCTGAAGCGGACGTGTGGAGTGCGGGGGTGATCCTGTACGTGCTGCTGTGCGGGCTGCCGCCCTTCTGGGGGGACACCACAGAGGACGTCTTCAAGAGCATCCTGTGACAGGAGCTCGACTTTGAGACACAGCCATGGCCCGCCGCCAGCACCGCTGCCAAGGATCTCGTTCGCCGCATGCTGTGCCGCAAGTATGAGCGGAGGATTTCTGTCGCCGAGATTCTGAGTAAGTCGGTGTTGGGGTGGGGGCGTGAGCAGGTGAGCTGTCTGCTTCTTTGGGTGTCATCTGGGGCTGAAACGGCCCAGGAATGGAACCGAACCAAACCAAGCCCTGGCCCGCCATCTGCTCCGCTGCCGAGGATCTTGTGCGATGAGTCGACTCAAAAATCGACTCATCACACGCTCCCAAGGACCTTGTGCGCCGCATGCTGGGCGTGGGTAGGGAGGGGTGGGGTGGGTTGGGGTGCGGTGCGCTGGGGTCATGAGCAGGTGGGTCAGCACGTTCGACCGGCGGATCACTGTGGCTGAGGTTCTGGGTGAGTATTACTGGGTGTAGTCGTGCAGGTGGGATGTATGCTTTCGTGGGGAAAAGTTGGGGCTGAATTGGCCTGGAATACCCAAGCAGAGGGATGTGGCCCGCTGTCAGCACCGCTGCCTTCCTTCTTCGTTACATCCCAATTTCCACTCTCACTTTGACTCCCGTTCTCAATAGAACACCCATAGACCAAGGCGCTATCTTAACGGCACTTTGTAATGTTGTGGGAAAAACGAGGCCTTTGTTCCCTCTCCTCTCACTCCCTCTCCCCTTCCCTCTTTCATTCCCTCTCTACGTTCCCAACAGAGCACCCATGGATCAAGGCTCTAACTTAACATGCCCTTTTGATGCGCCTCAAAAGAACACCCAAGGATAAAGGCACTAACTCAATGGGCCGTTGTAATTTATGGGGACAACATGGAGTTTCTAGACGTTTCGAAACACTCGGAGGCAACACTCAGGGACCAGGGTTCCGCTAAGACAGGTATACGTGTGCAACTCAATCAAGAGGAAGCCGTTGAGAGCAATCCATCACTTGTCTTGCGCCTGCATCTGTGCTTTTGTCGATTATGTGCTGGTGTGCTTGCTGAAATTCGGTTTTGAGAATGTCAACATCCAGCTCATACACATGTACAGTAACTGTGCTTTCGCCACTTTGTGCTAGTGTATATCCTGCAAATGGGTTTTGGAGAAATCTCAACCTCCAGCTCATACACCTGCAACTGAGCTAGTGTTCTTGCAACTGCCAGTGTGCAAGTGCCAAGTGTGCTACCATCTACCGGTAGCGAAACACCAGCTACCATGCTTCCCCAATGTGTAAAGATACGCAATGCAACTTGCTGGAGCATGTGTAAGTAGGTAGTTGGTGCTCCCTCATGCAACTGTAAGAGCACGGCTGCCCTCTGTAGAAACACTGAACCACCATATGGAATGCAAGCTAAGCCAGCCAACACACCTTGCTGCCACCCATGAACTTTATATGCTCTGTAATTATACTGTTGTCAGACCTTTATCACAGGCTCGCCAATGAGGTTCGGGCATGGCTTTGTGCCTTGAAAGCAGCAAAATGTGCTCCCAGGTTTGGTGACTCACACTTCCAATTGGGCAGCAAACGCACAGCAGACTGTCTGCTATAGCATGTCAACGCACCTGCTTCAAGGGGAGCGGCAGCCCAGCCATTTCCGTTGCTGCTTGTTAGGTTTGGAAGGAGAGGCTGGGCGGCATATATGCCTGGGTTGTCGCTAGATTTTGTGGAGCAGCTTTGGCTGTAGCCGTTGTGATAGCAGCCACTCTGGTTGGAGCAGCTTTGGCTGTAGCCGCTGTGACTGCACCTGCTCTAGTTGCAGCCATGAAATTTGGTCATGATGTGGAATGCGGGAGTCAGGCTGGGATTAGTTTTGAGAATTCTCAAAACTAATCTCAGACTGCACCCGCTCTGATTGCAGCCATGAAATCTGGTCATGATGTGGAATGCGGGAGTAAAGCTGGGAGATGGGGAGCAATCGACTCTGGTTGGGGATGGGGAGATGGAGATGGGTAGCCGTTGTGATAGCAGCCACTCTGGTTGGAGCAACTTGGCAAGGCCGCCCAGCCATACCGGAATGTTCATAGCGTTTCACTCTCTAACTGATTTGGTTTGGAAGATGGATTTGGAGGAAGGGTTGGAAAGTTGAGGGTCGGAGAGTGGAGGTTCGGGGAGTGCAGGGTCCGGGAGTGCAGGGTTGGTGAGTGCAGGGTCGGGGAGTGCAGGGCCGGAGGGCAAAAGGCCGGAAAGAAAAGGGTAGGAGGGTGCATATCTGTAACGCATAACCTACTCTGCCTCATCTACCGCTAACTTCCTAAGTCAACATCGAGAGACTTCCTCGATGAGAAATGACGTGAAGGCAATCGGGAAGATTGAGTTGGAGAAGAACATTGGTTTGGTTTTCCCAACCCTCAACCTTGAGGTTTGGAAACTTCCAACCCATCAAAGTGAAGATTGGAAAGGTTGGATTTCCAACCAATCAAGTTGTGCCAGTTGTTGTTACAATCCACACAAACTTAAAACAGCCATAGAATTGTGCTAAGTTGGGTTTTTCCCAACCAAACTAAATTGCCACTTAGGCTCCAAGCCTATTACCTCCCCAACCATGGAAGCCATGGTTGGGAAAAGCCCCAAGGGGTATGATGGAAGGGGTTGGAGCTCTCAAGCTCATTCCCACTTCCCAACTCCAACAATCTAACTTGGAAATGGGATTTTTACTCCAAGTCTTTTGGGTTCTCCCAATAAGCTCCCCTACACAACTAGACATGTGATTTTTCAAGGACAAGCTCTACAAGAAGCTCCTACCTACTTATTAAAGCTTCATCAACCTTTTTCAAGCTCCCTTTCTCCTCTCAAGCTTGAGGAGTACTATCAAAGCTAAATTACCCCTTGGTGGGATTAGTTGATCTTGAAAGCCATGTATCTTGATTTTTATAAATGTTGTCAAGGGTGATTTATATTTAACACACGGTTGCCCGTTGTTATAAGGGCCGTGATTGTTACATTGGTATCAGAGCCTGGGGTTCGATTCCGGCTGGGTCACATTTGAATGTGCCAGTCGCGAACCCAGTGAACGATCTGCAGCTGGCCTGGCCCACCAGCGAAGTCGCTGTAGAGCGAGATTCAGGTCCTTGCGAGGGCCGACTCCCTGCCCAACGAGGACGTCGGCTCCAGGGGGGGACGAGTGTAACGCCTGTGGGGCTTACACGTAAGGGTATGAGAGCATCCGCTGCGCCTCAAATACAACCCTCGTTTTGACCCAGTGGGTAGCGAGGTGTTACATTTGGTATCAGAGCTCTCTGAAAAGATGCAGGAGCGTTGGTCAAGCCAAAGCTCAGCACTCGCCACTGAAAATGACCAAACGGCGATCGGAAAGCCGTCTTGGGTACATCTTCTTCGGTGATGCGCAATTGGTGATACCCCTGCGCGAGGTCCAATGCGCTGAACCACTGGGCACCCTGGAGTTTGTCGAACAGGCCCTCTATTCTCGGTAGGGGATACCTATTCTTCACCGTTATCTTGTTCAAAGCACGGTAGTCTACGCACATGCGTAACCCTCCGCCCTTTTTGTTCACGAACAAGATCGGCGCTCCGTAAGGTGATGCGCTTGGTTCAATCCATCCCTTCCTGAGATACTCCTCAATTTGTTGTTTAGCCTCCTCGTACTCAGCTGGACTGGGGCGATATAGAGGTCTAAAAGGTGGGAGTTTTCCAGGCTCTACTGGGATGGTGTGACCGACAGCACGGTCCGGAGGAAGGCCATCTGGGATGGGCTCAAAAACCTCTGCAAACTCGTCCGCCAGTGCTTTCATCTGAGGCGGGAAATTCTCGACCCCAGGCTTCTCGTGTTGAGCATTCTCAAGCTGTACCACAAAGAAGGTATCGGCTTGTCGAACATGCTGTCCGAACTCGTTTGCGAGCGCAAAACTCACATCGGGACGCTTCGACGTTTGCTGTTCGTTCGTGATCAAGTCCTTAGGCACTTTTCATTGGACTGTGTCACCATTCTTTAAGAATGAGACAGTATTGTTCTGGAAATCGAGCTTGACTTCATTCGCTCGAAGCCAATCCATTCCAAGGACAAGGTCGACACATGCGAGAAGGGGCAAAACATACGCGCGGATCTCTTCGTGATAACCCTCGATCTCCATGTTGATCCGTGTCTGCCCTTTGCTTGGGATGATGCTATCGTCGTCAAGGCGAATGGGGCAAGACGGTCCTTCAACTAGGATCGTGCGTGCTGTGACCCACTTTTCGTCAAAGAGGGAAACAGTTGCACCCGTGTCAACAAGGATTTTTGCATTATCCCCGTTCACGCTACCCGCAAGCAACAAATTTTGTTGATGCTTTGGGCGAATAGGACATGCCACAATACTCGTCGAAGGTTTGAAGTACACCTTGACGTTGTGACGAGCGCGTCCATGTGACTGAGATTTGGTCCACCACACATGGTGTCCCTTGTCCCACGTCGCTAGGACCGGCCATCCACGAAGCACATGGAACAATTCTCCTTTCACTGTGCGAGTCACCAACGCAACCGAAGTCAGGGGGTGCTCTTGAGTGCAACGACTCACAATCTCAATGATAGAACGCAGAATGTCCAAACCACAGAAAATAATTGAAAATTTATCTTGCATTGCTTCCATGGAAATTTTCTCAAGTGGGTACGATCGAGGATAAAAAACAGAGTTTTTATTAAAAAAAGAGGCAAACAAACAAGAGATTTTGCAATCAGCAAGCTTCTCTAGCTTTAATATATCATCATCACATAGCACATATGCCTCATCCACTCGATCTACTCCTCCAACTAGGTACCCACACCCTAGTTGGGCTTCTGAAAATCCTTTTTTCCAGAAGGTCCAGCTCCGCCTGGCTTAGGCTTCCCAGAATACTTGATAGCATTCTTATCACGGCATTGCTTTATGACGTGCCCCATCCTTCCACAGCCTCTGCACTGCTTGTCGGAGAAGTCCGGCTTGTTAGGTCCATGACCTCCCCCTCCGTTAGGCCTCTTGGCCTGTGGGCCAGGCTGGTGATCACGCTGATGGAAAGGCCTTTTGTTCCAACCGCTTCCACCCTTCGCATTCTGGGGCCGGTTCCCATGACCACCAGAGCCCTCAGCACGGGGCTGCGGGCTTGTCTTTTCGGGGCCAAAAATGTACGTGCGAATGATGTTGTCGGTTTTGATCACCTGCTCCTTCATCTCCGCCGGTCATGTGTGCCTGCTGCAGGTTGACAGGGAGGCCCTTCATGAAGATGTGCATCATCTCCTCCTCAGCCAAGGGCTTTTGGAGCAAGCGTGCTGCGGCCTCAAACTCGACCGCATATTCCTGCACCAAACGGTCATGACACTTGATACGCTCAAGGCGTCCGCGCAGTTCCAGGTCGGACTTTTTTACCATGAATGCCTCTTTCAGCGCGGTGCAGAACTCCGGCCATTCAAACGGTCCCTGTGCCTGCTTCTTAGCACCATACACGGCCCTGCGGGCCACCTCGTCCAATGCACGAGTAGCTGCAGTGACGCGAGCCTCGGGGCGCACATTTGCAAGGATCATGGTGGAATCCACCAGGTCGAGCCAAGGCTGCACCTCCGTCTTGTTATGGTTAAATTCAGGCAGAGGCGCCGCGAGAGACCCAAAGGGCGAGGTCTCAGTTGGAGGTGGCTGATGCATAGCCGTCGCAGCACCTACCGCCGGGGGTGCGGGCAGAGCGGATGTCGGCTGAGCAGCAGGAGCGGATCTACGCCCAGGAGGAGGTTCGTAAATACCCTCCCTCCTAAGATGTGTCAACTGCTCATTGAACTTGTTGAACGATGCTTGCAGATTCTTGCAAGTCTTCAGAAGCCACTCAATTTGGCGTTTTTTTAGTGCCCAGGCTGCGACGGAACTCTGTAACCTCCTTCATGGTAATGCTTAGTCTAGCCTCGAGGTTCTGAGTGTGCTTCTTGAGTCCATCAATGGACGTCTGCTGCTGTAGGATGGTGATATTCTGAGTTGCCACCTTAGCCTGGAGTTGGACAATCTCCTCGGAGATAGGATAAGTCGTGCCTTCACCCTCAGTGAAGTCATTTTCATCACCAGTGGCCTCCTTTCCACCGGTGTTATCCTCTTCCCCAAGGTTGTCAGTGCCACCATGGTTCTCAGCTTCACCATGGTGCTCAGATTCATCATGGTTCTGAGCTTCACCATGGTTATGCTCATCTCCAAGGTCCAGGTCCAAGTCCTCAATATCATCCAACTCAATCTCAGCCATTGCCTCATCTTGATTGAGGTCAATCTCAGCAGCATTGTTCACCACCTCATTAGGTGCAGTGGGCCCTTCCTCCCTTGCCATATCCTTCTCTTGGCCAGATGCCATAAGGATTAAGGGAGCTTGTAAGATCTGGGTTGATTCTGTTAAAGTCTTTTTACCACCTCAATGGTAAAGCAAGAAATTCTTATAAAAGAAATTTCTTCTACAGAATAATCCAAGTTACCCAAGGTAACAGATTTGTTGTCATGCACTCCCAATCACCTAAGTGAAAGGGCAGGGTCTATCCAAATCTCAATGAAGAGAACTTGTATAACCCTCAACAAATCCTCCAGATCCAAGTTTATACTCCACTACTCAACAGTAGAGAGTCTTCCACCAAAAGGTGGGCAAGAGAGATAAATCTCTCTTCTTAGCTTGAAATTGCAGTTGTAGATCTTGTAGATCTTGAACTCTTCAAGCTTCCAGATCTTGAGTGTTCTCTTAAATAGAAACCACAACTCCAAGATCTATAAAAAAAAAAATAAAAATTAGAATCTCTAAGGGCAAAATCCCCACTAGGCTTAGGATAACCCTAGCTCTAGATACCAATGTAACAATCACGGCCCTTATAACAACGGGCAACCGTGTGTTAAATATAAATCACCCTTGACAACATTTATAAAAATCAAGATACAAGGCTTTCAAGATCAACTAATCCCACCAAGGGGTAATTTATCTTTGATAGTACTCCTCAAGCTTGAGAGGAGAAAGGGAGCTTGAAAAAGGTTGATGAAGCTTTAATAAGTAGGTAGGAGCTTCTTGTAGAGCTTGTCCTTGAAAAATCACATGTCTAGTTGTGTAGGGGAGCTTATTAGGAGAACCCAAAAGACTTGGAGTAAAAATCCCATTTCCAAGTTAGATTGTTGGAGTTGGGAAGTGGGAATGAGCTTGAGAGCTCCAACCCCTTCCATCATACCCCTTGGGGCTTTTCCCAACCATGGCTTCCATGGTTGGGGAGGTAATAGGCTTGGAGCCTAAGTGGCAATTTAGTTTGGTTGGGAAAAACCCAACTTAGCACAATTGTATGGCTGTTTTAAGTTTGTGTGGATCGTAACAACAACTGGCACAACTTGATTGGTTGGAAATCCAACCTTTCCAATCTTCACTTTGATGGGTTGGAAGTTTCCAAACCTCAAGGTTGAGGGTTGGGAAAACCAAACCAATGTTCTTCTCCAACTCAATCTTCCCGATTGCCTTCACGTCATTTCTCATCGAGGAAGTCTCTCGATGTTGAATTAGGAAGTTAGCGGTAGATGAGGCAGAGTAGGTTATGCGTTACACTCCTCCCCCCCTAGGTGGCAACGTCCCCGTTGCCTCAGGGTGCTTCTGAGGACGAGCGCTTCGAGTACGCCGTGTCACATTACGACCAGGGTCAACGCCCTCCACTGGTTGTGCGGCAGCTCGTCGAGCCAGGTCTGTCGTGTATGACTGAACTGCAGTTTCAGTCAGATGCTCTTCTGGCTCCCATGAGTTGTGTTCAGGCCCATAGCCTCTCCACTTGATGAGGAACTCTCGTACTGTCTTTCGGCCGCGTTGTCGATCACGATGCATTAGCACTTGTTCGACTTCATAAAACAGTTCCTCCCCCAGGACGATCGTTGGTGGCGGTAAGTACTTGCCCTCTGCAACGTACTTGTTCAACAGAGACACATGGAAGACGTTGTGAATCTGTAAAGTGTCAGGTAGCTTAAGCTTGTAAGCTACCACACCAACACGCTTGATCACCTCGAAGGGCCCAATCCATCGAGGGAACAGCTTTCTTGCTCCAGGGATTTTGAGACGAATGTTCTTCGTGCTTAACAAAACTTTGTCTCCAACCTCAAACGAGACTTCCCGGCGTTTCATGTCGGCGTAAGACTTTTGTCGCTGTTGAGAGAGTTGTAGCCAATGGCGAGCAGACTTAAGCGCTTCTTGCTGCTTGCCAACAAAGTCTTTAGCGGCTTGAATTTTCAATCCGCCGATCCCATGCGTAGCAGGCGTTGTGGGATGCCGACCATAGTTCAGAATGAAAGGTTTCTCACGTGTACCTTCATGAACTGAATTGTTCACTGCGAATTCAACGACACGCAACAACTCGTCCCAATCATCCTGAGTTGGGCCAATGAATGAACGAAGCATGTGCTCAAGTGTCCGGTTTGTTCGTTCCGTCTGCCCATCGGTTTGTGGGTGGAACGCCGATGACAACTTAAGCTTCATTCCTAGTGTCCGTGTGACTTCTTGCCAGAACCGGCTTGTGAAGCGCGGATCCCGGTCGGACACCAATACACGTGGTAACCCGTGTAAGCGGAAAACGTGTGCCACAAATAATTTGGCCGTATCTTCCGCGGATAAGTCAGTTGTAGTAGCCACGAAATGCACCATTTTTGTCAGACGATCCACAAACACTAGGATCGCTGTATGGCCATCACGAGTCTTAGGAAGGTCCGTGATAAAATCCAAGGATACACTCTCCCAAGGTTCATTCGGGATCTCGAGTGGTTGAAGCAAACCACCCGGCTTCTTTATGTCCGTTTTATTTAGAGCGCATGCGTCGCAGTGTGCCACAAATTGCTGGACCTCAGTGCCCAATCCCGGCCACCAGTATACATCACTCAAGGCCCACCTGGTCTTTTTTACCCCTAGGTGCCCTCCGTACTTAGTGGCATGCACTTCTTCCAGAATATCGTTCCGCAGGCTACCTACGTGAGGTACAACGATCTCCTTCTTACGCCACCAGAGCTCATGCTCCCACTTGAGTTCCTTAGTGTTTCGTGGGTCCTGAAACCAGGAGTCAATTTGATACCCTGTGCGGATGCGTTTCAGGAAACCATTGAAGGTAATCTCACTCACTCGAGCCGTTACTAGGACACTGAAGCAAGCAGAAAATACTGCCGCATTCTCTGTGTCGTCTAGACGTGTTGCTGCCCCTATCGGCTGTCTGCTGAGGGGGTCAGCCAGGTTCGTCGAACCCGCTCGATATCGAATATCGAAGGTGAACCCACTAAGGAGTTCCGCCCATCGGGCTTGACGTCGAGTAAGCGTGGCTTGGGTGGAGAAGTAGGTGTTCGGACAGTGATCAGTCGTAACCACAAAGTCCACACCCTCTAGATAACATCGCCATGTTCGTAGCGCATGAACGACCGCCAACAGTTCTTGTTCGGACGTCGTATAGCGCTGCTCTGCCGGGGAGAGCTTTCGACTCTCAAATGCCACTAGTCTCCCTTCTTGCAAGAGGACCGCCCCAATCCCAATCAATGAAGTGTCAGTAACAACCTCATAGGGCTTTGTCGGATATGGTAAAACCAGAACCGGAGCATTGGTCAGCAATCGCTTGACCTCGTCGAATGCCTTTTGGCATTGTTGTGTCCATTGCCAAGCACTACTTTTGCGAGTGAGGGCCGTCAATGGGGCAACAACGGTAGAATAATTATGCAATAATCGACGAAAATAGTTCGCCAGTCCAAAAAACGACCTGATTTGACCCACATCTTGTGGTACTGGCCAGTTCTGGACTGCGACAACTTTCTTTGGGTCTACTTTGAGACCATCATTTCCCACGAGATGGCCAAGATATTCCAACTCGCGTTTGTAGAAATGACACTTCCACAGACGAGCATAAAACTTATGCTCTCGAGGTTTCCCTAACACCCACTTAAGGTGTCGCGTGTGCTCCTCTTCCGTCCAGGAGTAAACCAAGATGTCATCCAGATAGACTAAAACGAACTGTCCAATCGCCTCGCGAAAGACTTCATTCATAGCTCTCTGAAAAGATGCAGGAGCATTGGTCAAGCCAAAGCTCAGCACTCGCCACTGAAAATGACCAAACGGCGATCGGAAAGCCGTCTTGGGTACATCTTCTTCGGTGATGCGCAATTGGTGATACCCCTGCGCGAGGTCCAATGCGCTGAACCACTGGGCACCCTGGAGTTTGTCGAACAGGTCCTCTATTCTCGGTAGGGGATACCTATTCTTCACCGTTATCTTGTTCAAAGCATGGTAGTCTACGCACATGCGTAACCCTCCGCCCTTTTTGTTCACGAACAAGATCAGCGCTCCGTAAGGTGATGCGCTTGGTTCAATCCATCCCTTCCTGAGATACTCCTCAATTTGCTGTTTAGCCTCCTCGTACTCAGCTGGACTGAGGCGATATAGAGGTCTAAAAGGTGGGAGTTTTCCAGGCTCTACTGGGATGGTGTGACCGACAGCACTGTCCGGAGGAAGGCCATCTGGGATGGGCTCAAAAACCTCTGCAAACTCGTCCGCCAGTGCTTTCATCTGAGGCGGGGAATTCTCGACCCCAGGCTTCTCGTGTTGAGCATTCTCAAGCTGTACCACAAAGAAGGTATCGGCTTGTCGAACATGCTGTCCGAACTCGTTTGCGAGCGCAAAACTCACATCGGGACGCTTCGACGTTTGCTGTTCGTTTGTGATCAAGTCCTTAGGCACTTTCCATTGGACTGTGTCACCATTCTTTAAGAATGAGACAGTATTGTCCTGGAAATCGAGCTTGACTTCATTCGCTCGAAGCCAATCCATTCCAAGGACAAGGTCGACACATGCGAGAAGGGGTAAAACATACGTGCGGATCTCTTCGTGATAACCCTCGATCTCCATGTTGATCCGTGTCTGCCCTTTGCTTGGGATGATGCTATCGTCGCCAAGGCGAATGGGGCAAGACGGTCCTTCAACTAGGATCGTGCGTGCTGTGACCCACTTTTCGTCAAAGAGGGAAACAGTTGCACCCGTGTCAACAAGGATTTTTGCATTATCCCCGTTCACGCTACCCGCAAGCAACAAATTTTGTTGATGCTTTGGGCGAATAGGACATGCCACAATACTCGTCGAAGGTTTGAAGTACACCTTGACGTTGTGACGACCGCGTCCATGTGACTGAGATTTGGTCCACCACACATGGTGTCCCTTGTCCCACGTCGCTAGGACCGGCCATCCACGAAGCACATGGAACAATTCGCCTTTCACTGTGCGAGTCACCAACGCAACCGAAGTCAGGGGGTGCTCTTGAGTGCAACGACTCACAATCTCAATGATAGAACGCAGAATGTCCAAACCACAGAAAATAATTGAAA